ATTAAAGATATGAAAAACATTACCATTGAAATCTACCTGATGACTTTATATCCATGCTCAGATGCCAAGGATCTCAGAAAGTAACCGAATGTGACAAGTAATAACCTGATATATAGAGATTAGAAACACATGTGCAAACATCTTAATGTCAATTGCATTAAAAATGAAGTTTTCTGCATGAAACTCTATATTTTAATAACCAAATGGAGATCTTTTTTAAAGGTTAAAACCTCATTTAATTTTATGTCTTATAGGGTTTATACTGAGTACAATATTGTATAACTGAAATAATTCAACTGTAAACCTAAAGATGTACAGCCAATTTTGTAAGAGATGGAGCCTAGTTCAGAAAATTGTTATTGAATATGTCAATGCTGATGTAATGAAGTGCTTTTTCTAAGTATGTGGTTATTAAACAAATAATTAAAAATACAGGCATAAAATAACTTTGATATCTGTGTTTCAGACACATTTGTGTTAGACTTGAATGAGTTGTTGGAAAATCATTCTAAATATGACATAGCTTAAATTATGAAAATCAAAACTTAAATTACAATATAATTTTGATTTCAAAACTAAATATATATATATATGTTCTTATGTAGCTGTAAGTTAACCACATATACTAACTCTCATGACAATTTAGTTTGACTCGATGTTCTGTTTATACCTGCAACAAACCATTCTAAAACTTTTTCTAAAACTAGAAATTGTTTTGTTCATAATTTTATAATGCAAGCATTTAGAAGTGATGTACACTTCTTAATGGGCAAATCTAACTTTGATTTCTCAGAGAGAGGTGAGTTAGGGCTGCAAACGCCTGAAGGATCTCTCTGGCTAGATGTCTCATAGTTGGTAGTTGATACAGAGCTCTTGGGTAGCTCATGTACTGTCACTGGTCCCCTGTGGTCAGCTCCTCTCAATATATCCATTAGATATACATCCTTTCTGCAACATGGGAAGAAGTGTTCTAAGAGATCACCATGGAAACTGTAAGACCTTCACCGACCTCACTGTAAACTCTGTGTAATTACTCCTGTCTTGTACTATTATTTAAACAAGTCAGGAAGCTCTACTGAGATCTAAGGAGAGGAGTATGGACCCCGTCTTTAATGGCAGTAGTGTTAGCAAAGATTTGTCACACTCAATTCAACATGCATGAATAAATCAAGAGTAGTATAAGCCTTTTCATTCTACCATCAATATGATTTCTAACTTTGGCTGTGCAGCTGTTTCCTCTAATCTGAAGCTTTCTCTCCTGAAGGGAGGACAGAGGCTCAAAGGACTCAGGAAATAAATCCCAGGAAGCTCCTGAAATTTACAAGGTTGACAATGCCTCTTGTCAAGGTCATATAAGCACTAGGCACTTAGTAGGAGCTGCCTGCAAATTGTGCAAGGTGACCTAAGGATGTAGGTTGCGTGAATCATAAACCGTAAAGGAGTGGGATTTCTGGTAATCCTGCTGACTTTGAGTCATCCTTGCTCATTTAAGTAACCCCCTTACCCATGTTCCTGTAAGTAATCTCAATAAACTAACCAGTGCAATAAGCAACACTTGGCAAAATTGTTTCTTTGGTCTCTTGTCAGTACCCTTTCTATGGTAAGTAGACTTCTATAAATGTTTCCTTGCAAAAAGTCTTATAAGACCTCAACAGATCACTTTACTGTTATATGTATTGTATGACATTTGTATGTCATACAGTTTTGAAGATATAGTAATAATATTTAAGGAATACTGTTATGAGCCTTCATCTAAGTGTGTGTTATTATAAGGCTTTCATTTTGCATGTTGGACAGAACTAATAATAATGTATGTATATTTTCCTATATGTATCTATATAGCAACTGAAAACAGAATTTTAGGTCACTAATACTCATTTACAAAGCCATTCACAGAGAAGACTCATAAATTTGTTCTTGTGACATATAATGTTTGATTCATGTTATTCTATAAAAAATATAAGATTTTGCATCTATCTGATTTAAATTTGTCAGGTTGTGAACTTCTTGAGAATTTTTCCCAAGATTAAAACCTGAAGCTTTATTATTTTTAATTAATTTATTTTTATACAAATAACATATGTGTGTGATGCATGTATAAGTGCACTTGTGTCATGCCATCCCCTCAGAGGCCAGAAGAGTACATCAGATCCCCTGGAAATGGAGTTGTAGATAGTTTTTCGCTGCCATGTAAGCCCTGGGAACTGTGCCAAGGTCCTTCAAGAACAGCCAATGCTGTTAACCACTGAGCAGTCTCTGCAGCCCCGGTCTGGTGCTTTGTAAGTGGACACATTTTTTTAACTAATGTCTTTTTCATTTCCAGGAAGCAAAACAGAAGCAAATCTACAATATTAAAGTTATTAATATTTTATAGTTAATCTACAAAATGTTAATTAATTTCTATTGTTCATTCATCATCAACACCACCATATCTCATCTATCATCTATCTATCTATCTATCATCTATCTATCTATCTATCGATCTATCATCTATCTGTCATCTATCTATCATTGATCTATCTATCATCTATCTATCAATCAGTCAATCAATCAATCAATCACCTATCTGTCTGCATACACACACACACACACACACACACACACACACACACATATTAGCTATGGACTGCAGATCAGAGTCCATTTCACTAAAGAACTCACTAAGAGCTTCAAGGCTCCCATGTTTGTTAATCATTTCTAACCCTTAGCTCATGCTGTATCTGGAAGACTTGCAACTGTCTACCAAGGTCTTCACTAGGTGGATTTGCTGAACCAGAGGCTGAACTCTGCGAGCTGACTGAGATCTAGTTTTTCTTGAGGGACCCTCCACACACTGAGTGAAGAAGAGCCACCCCGAGTGCCACAGCAGGGGATTCCTGGCAGATCCTATCAGGACTAATACTTGTTCAGCTGACAGAATTTTCAGTATAAAATATGGTCTTTCTGTTTCTTCAGTTCTCGAAGTCTTCAGTTCTCCTTTTCTTTTCATATCCACCATTTCCCCTTCTCTAGTAAAGCTTTAGCAAACTTAACTCCATCTCAGGATTTAATTCCTAGGTAAAGCATGCAATAGTATGTTTTTTATAAAGGGAGTTAACTTCCTTTAGCTGAGATAGTTTATAATATTGAGAGATATAGCTAATAATACATATTTTGTCAACAGGCAGTTTCTAGCCTAGTGCTGCCATAGCTGCCATAGCAATTTTCATGAAATCCAAAAATGTGAATGTTGTATTTTATCTCTGTATGAATGGGAAAAGATTTTGAGGTGCCTGGACATTCAGAACCTTTGAAATTTCTCAAATAACCCAAAAGAAGAAAAGAAAGGACACAATGTCCTATACTAAAGAGCTTGATTTGCCCTGAAAAAGAAAATGACCGGTTTTATATTGGGAAGGGATGCAATTAATACCCACACAAGAAACGTTCTCATAGATAAGGAAAGTGATAGATATTGTAAAAACCAACCTAGAGGCATTTGTGTAAGAACCAGTAGTTGCTAGACTATGTGGATGTGTTAGCGGTGATGGAGCCCAAGAAATATTAAGGAATTAAAGAGTAAATAATTACTATCTGATTTGGCCCAGTGAGTAGATACAGGGAGTACCAAATGGTATCCTGGCTGTTATTTTAGAACAATGGGGGTGGAGAATAAAGGTGAAGTCTCTGAGGAGAGGAAAGAATAGGAAAGTGAACGTTGAGCTGGTGTGTCTACAGGCAATGCTGAGATTCTGACAGGGAAGATGTACATACAAGATGAAGTTTAGAAGACAGAGCATTCTGTAATGGGTTATCATATCTGAAAGATTAGCATAGAACATTAGAGGCCATGGATATGGATGTAGTGTACTAACACACTACCCTGGCTGAGTGTGCTTTGCACATTGAGAACATTAACTCCCCAGCTGCACCTAATGAAAGGGACAAATATTCTAGGGGCATCACTGAAGATGAGAGTATACCATGACCTTGATATGAGAATTACTATTTAGTTATAGCAAGGAAACAAGGAAACAAAGGTACCTCAACCCTATGTCTGTGTATATGGAGAAACATACACAGGACCTCCAGCACCATACCATTTTGAATACATTAGCTTTTGTTGTGTTTTGCAACTTAGAATCACTATGAAAAATATCACATCATAGGGAAATCTGGGTTTTGTATGTCACATGCAATTATCTCCCCCTGTGTGAAGCTGACTTTCTTTGTCAAGAGCAGAGTGGAAGGGCTAAGCATGTTCTACCATCTCTTTGATGTTTTCTAGGATATAATGAAAGATGAATGCTCTATGCTGAAGCTACAGCTGAGAGACAAGGATGAACTCATTTCTCAACTTCAGGCAGAGCTGGTAAGTGATTGTTGTCATGGAATACTTACTTTTAGGGTTGTTTGCTAGAACCCTTTATCTCTTAACACTGATATTATTACTTATAAGTTCTGCTGATGATTCAATATGACTGTCAATCTTATCAGCTTTACTAATGAAAATGTAGGCCTTTGATGACTTGAAGAATAGAAATGATGGTTTCTACATGTAGCAATTTATATAACACAAGACAAGGGGTCAAACCTTTCAGTTAAATCAGGAATCTTAAAGGCTAAGGCCTTCAGAGAGAATCTTACATGAAGAAAAGCACTTATTAATTCTGCAAAACTAAACAGATTTTGTTTTTCATATTCATAAAGTTATCATAGTATGACTTTTTCTTAATACGTGACAGGATTTTCAGGTAATGTGCAAATTACACAGAAGATAAAATATCTATAGTTCATATTTTAGGGATGCATTTGTTTTATATATCATAAAAGAATATGAGGAATCAAATACCGATAACATGAAAGCACATTTGCTATGTAAAAGGATGCGCAGTGGGCGTTATTGGTCTAGATAATTTTAATGTATGAATATATATGAACAGCAGTTCACAATGAATATCAATACTCTAAATGTAAATAAAAACCATAGTACTATGAAATAAAAATTAAAAGGAGTGAGAAAGAATGTTAATTCATCAAATTCTTAAAATCATATAAAAATACTGTACTGTAGAAGATACCCTGGCAATTATCAGTATCAAAATATAATTCCTAAGAAAAATATATTTACTACTATTTCATGTTTGACTACAGTAATGGTGTATTATTTATTAACTACAATTAAATGGCATCACTGAGCTTATAGATCAACAAGCTTCTGAGAACTCGCCATGTACTAGTGAGATGTCCAATTCATTATGTTTTGTGTTATGTTGTATTATAACAACTGACAGTGTTTTGCTGAAATTTGGCCTTTATTTAGACCATGTGTTGATGATCATGAGCATGTTAGTATGGCTTTGTAAAGCTCTAATCTATACTTGAAAACAGAGGTGCATCCTCAGACAAGAGAAATATGTCCTGTCTTATAATAGAAGAACTACCCTCTGACAAAGAAATAACTAATGTACTTATAAATATTATATACTACACAGTGAAACATTTTTATGTTTAATGTAGTCCTCTAGGCATATTTATAATGTAACCAAGGTTTTGTTTATATGACATAGAAAAATGTCTTTCAGTTTAATAAATATCAAGTACAGATGCTTATTATAGAATGGAATCATTAATCGTAATGCAGAGAGTATCTGTTCATCCACTCTGCCAGGGAGTGCTTATCTTCAATAATTAACTGTGGAAAGAATGTTCATTTTTCTTCTCAACATCAGGTGTGATCAGATTCAAAAGACAACATGTACAAGAATCAGACCTTCCCTTGTCGAGTGAACTGAGAAAGTTATTGCTTGCGGAGCCAATATTACACAGCCTTAATTACCGTAGTTCGGTGCCCCTCCCTCCAAAAGAGGACTTCAATTTTCTGACATCCTAAAATGACACGCTCATGAGGCTGGTTTTTTGTTTTGTTTTTGTGTTTTAATTTTCTTTTCTCTGAGCTTGAATTGTCCAAATTACTTTTGAAAATTTCCCAAGTAGTAACCAAGGTCCCATTTCAATGTGTATGCAATGTCCTTTGCATGAGTATCTTGGATCCTTCAACAAAGGAAATATGTTACCTTTTGGAATGTAGTTTGCTTTGTTAAAGAAGTCTTTCAGTAAGGAAGAACATGGGATGATTACAGAATTTAGAGAAGTGTTAAGAAGAATAACTTGTAATTAAAACTGCCTCTGAGGAATCCATGAGATTGGTACGGCACTACAAACTCCTGAAATCTGTGGTAAATAGAGTTCCCACAAATTTGGTCCGTCACAACTTGGTGGTTCTGATTGTGGGAATAAATAACTTTTGCATTTGTTTTCTTCTTACATTTGTTTATTTGTATGTTTGAGACATGATCTCACTGTGTATCACAGACCTGCTTGGAACTTACTGTGCAGCCCAGGATGACCTTGAATTAATGTAATCCTCCTGCTTTAGCCTCCCAGTATAAGAATTACAGGCGTGAGTCACCATACCAGACTAACTTACAAGAATTTTCCAAGACTGAAATTAAATTAGAAACCAGTTTAGTTCTTAGTTAATATCATAGAGAGTCATAATACCAGATAGTTTAGAAATTATTATCATAGGCTTTTTATTCCTTGACCTCTGCTATTGTACCAAGCTAAATTTATTTACCTGCATATGTTGGGAAAGGATTATCATTATGTTTATTAAACCAAATGGTAACAGTAAGACTTTTCACTGCTGTAACACATACCCGAGAGAGGAAAAAAAGAAGATTTTGGCTCATGGTTTGTCAGGCTTAGTCTATGTTCAGCTGGTTTCATTGCTTTAAGCCTGGAGGAAGACAAAATAGGGAGAAAGGGCATGCCAGGGAAAGTCTGCTCAACTTAAGACCACCAGGAGGCAAAGAAAAGGAACAGGAAGGAGCCAGGGCCAAGATACACCCTTCAATGATACTCTCCTAGTGGCCCACTTCCTCCAAATCAGCTCCACCACCTACAGTTCCAGCACCTGTGGATTAACCTCCACATTCACCCTGATAGTTTCACAGTTGTAAAGGGTTAATCCATGTCCAGATAGTGTTGATACAGAAGAGAATGTGATTTTTTCAGTAATCTTTCTGATAATACTTCTTAACAGCACTTTGAGCTGTGTATGACAAGGTTTTAGAAGCATCTCTGTCACTTCCCCACTAGATGCCATTAGTGCCCTACAGACATTGCTAAATGTCCTCTGTAGACAGAAATGTTCCCATTAGAGAACACTTGTTTTAGAGGTATTAGATTAATTTGTAGAGCACCAAAGAAACTGTATGTTGTAGGATAAGCATCTACTTACAGGTACCTAAGGAGGCTGGAACTCTGTAGACAGAAGGGATGGACCTTTCCTTAGATTATGGTGTGTGTGTGTGTGTGTGTGTGTGTGTGTGTGTGTGTGTGTGTGAAAGCTAATTTTAATTTTGCTTCGTACTGAAGTCAGGGGGCCTGATATGGAGCCAGAGTATGTGGGGTCCAGTAAGAATACTGTCCCTGGTTTATGGTTGGCCTTTGCACTGTGTAAACAGAGAGTGGCAGCTAGCATGCTCTGTGTTCTTTCCATCTGGTCCATCTAAGGACACTGACCTTTGGCCTCATCTACACAAAGTCACCCCTCATGCCATGCACTCTTCCAAATTTAATCTCATGGCTGCCAGGATATTTACTCTGTGAGTTGGGAGGGTAGAGTTCAGTCCATATCACATACTTGTGTGTGCTTAGTTAATATCATCAAAGAGAATGGTGTGAGACTAAGAAATTCTGTTACACAGTTTTTCTAGAACTAAGGGAATATTTAAAAATTATTCTTTTTCTACTACATGATTTCATAATTATTCTCTACGTCAGTACTCCTTGCTCCCTGAGTTGGTAGATTTCACAAAGCATGAATATGATACAAACTCAAAATAATAATCTTAATTTTATATTATACATTTCTGTTGTTTGGGAAAAGTATCATCATTAGCAACTGCATTCCTAATGTGAATATAGTCTATAGACAAACTTTTAATTTATCCATTTCTGTTTTCTTTAAAAAATGCTTCATGCCAGCCAGGCTTGGTGGCACACGCCTTTAATCCCAGCACTGGGGAGGCAGAGGCAGGCAGATCTCTGTTAGTTCAAGGCCAGCCTGGTCTACATAGTGAGTTCCAGGACAGCTGGGGCTACAGAGAGACCCCGTCTCAGAAAGACCAAACAACAACAAAAAAAGCTTCATGCTAAGAACCAGTTATTTCTCACAGAAACAATTTCAAAGAATCTGAGATTATCTATGAAATTTTCATGCATTACTTACTGTGATGAGTGTTATTGGTTTCTTTTGAATAAAAATAATGATTTGCAATCATTTTATGATGTCCAAGGGAACTTTAAATGCTAAATCATCAAGTTTTCCTTGGGTTATATTCATGGTTGGGCAACTAATTGGAGAGAACATAAAAAGAAATATGCACTGCAGCCAGAAAGGAGCTGGTTCTCAGCAGGCAACATCTACTTCCAGATGTTTCACCAGTGAATACAGTCTCTTATGCTCTGTTACAGGGTATAGCAAAGGCCATGGCTGTAATGATTTATGTTGATAGTATGGATAGGTGTCCTTAAAAGAGGAAGATCCTTCCTCCATGTCTGTCTGTCTCTCCCTCTGTTCCTCCCTCTTTTTCCACCCACCCTTCCTCCCTGTCTTCCTACATCCATTTCCTTTTCTCTCTCTATCTGTAAAAGCCATGTGAACCCACAAAGGGAAGGTAGCTGTCTGTAAGCATGTACAAGGGCACTCATAAGAACCCAACCGTGGTATCTATGTGGTCTCAGATGTGATTCATCTAAAACTGTGACTAAATAAGTTCTTGTGTTGACATTTTGTTATGGGAATTTGAGCTGACTCTTAGAAATACTGTCTTAGTCTGACCCTTATTTGTTATGGGCCATTTAGATTTATATTCTTTTCTGCCATGTCCTAACTAGGCATACTTCATTATTTTTCTTCTGGAATTTTGAATAGTGTTCAGGGATTGTATTCAACCCATTAAAGTTTTCCTTCAGGTTCTGATTTTTTTTTTCATTTAAAAATTCTACTATTTTGGGGAGCTGGAGAGATGGCTCAGAGGTTAAGAGCATGAGCGCTTTTGCAGAGGACCCAGGTTTGATTCCCAGCTCCCACATGGTGGCTAACAACCATCTGTAACTCCAGTTCTGAGGGGAATCCAATGCCTTCTGACCTCCCTGGGCATTGCACGACACGGGTGTACTTATACACATGCAGGCAATACACTCATATACATAAAAATAATAAATAAAATGTTTTCTAAAAATTCTATTATTTTCATGTTTGTTTTTCTTAGTCTGCCCTTCAAATCGATATTTTCTACA